TCGGTGGAGCTCCTTATGGGGCTACGAAACGTGTGAGGGGTGTGCCCAATTGGGAGTGGCTGACGCATGCGGGCGGTGGCACTGGGGCCTTCGGTGGAGCTCCCCGTGGGGCACCGAAACGTGAGAGGGGTGTGCCGAAGTGGGCGTGGCTAACGCATGCGGGCAGTGGCACTGGGGCCTTCGGGGGAGCTCCCTATGGGCCACGAAACGCGAGAAGGGTGTGCCGAAGTGGGCGTGGCTGACGCATGCGGGCGGTAGCACTGGGGCCTTCGGTGGAGCTCCCTGTTGAGCCACGAAACGTGTGAGGGGTGTGCCGAAGTGGGTGTGGCTGACGCATGCGGGCGGTGGCACTGGGGCCTTCAATGGAGCTGCCTGTGGAGCCACGAAACGTGTGAGGGGTGTGCCGAAGTGGGTGTGGCTGACGCATGCGGGCGGTGGCACTGGGGCCTTCGGTGGAGCTCCCTGTTGAGCCACGAAACGTGTGAGGGGTGTGCCGAATTGGGCGTGGCTGACGCATGCGGGCGGTGGCACTGGAGCCTTCGGTGGAGCTCCCTGTTGAGCCACGAAACGTGTGAGGGTGTGCCGAAGTGGGTGTGGCTGACGCATGCGGGCGGTGGCACTGGGGCCTTCAGTGGAGCTCCCTGTGGGGCCACGAAACAGTGTACTGTGTGGCTGAAGCGCAGGGAGGAAGGAGGAGGAGAAGGGGGAGGGAGGAGGAAGAAAGGAGGGAGGGAAGGAGGGAGGGAACGCGGGGACCGTTCTTCAAAACGCGGACCCAACACCACAGGATGGTTGGGAAAAACCGAAAACGCCTGGCTCGAAAACATCTAGACGCCAGGATCTCAGGGCCTCTCTCATCCCAGAACCCCGACGTCATGATTTTTTCAGAACGTCGACCCCGAGACAATCTCGACCCATACATTCCCTGGGACCGGCTTCTGATCCTGAGTCGTTTTCTGATAACCCCGAGCCCCGGCGAGGACCCCCAAATGCCGAAAATGGCGAAAAATCTCCCGCCATGATTTTTTGTCACTGCTCGAGGGGGTCTCTCCTTGCACGACGCCAAGACCTCGCTGGGTGCCGGCGGCTCCAGAGGCCACGACGAGACGCGCCGCCCGGCGCGGGCCCGGGGCGCCGCGCTGCGCCTGCGCAGGAGGGGTGCGGAGGGCGCGCCCGCCAGGGGGGGGGGCAGCGCCGAGCGCGGAGGTGCCGGACCCCCTCGAATCCATGAAAAATCATTGAAGGGGCCCTGGGACACACACACAAATGAATAAACACAAATAAAAAGATCCACCAAATTTTCCTGTCTTTTCTGCCGCCATTTTCGGCATATGGGAGCCCTCGCCAGGCCTCGGGACCGTAAAAGAACGCCTCGGGACGAGAAGCCGGTCCCAGGGAAGGGGTCGAGGCCTCCGGGGGGGTCGACGTGCTGAAAAAAACATGACGTCGTGGGGCTGAATGGGCCGGACCGAGTTGGGCGGTCATGGACGGCTGCTCCTGCGCGACGGCGCTGGCCTCGGCACACCAATCGCGGGCCGAGATCTTGCAAAAATCCCACCAGCCCTCTGGGCGTAGGTGGTCTCAGGATATCGTTGTGTTCTCTTCCATTGGAACCCCTCTTCCCTTCGGGGAGGGGTACCCTCCCACTTCCCTGCAAGGGCGGTTTTGGGGGGAGGGGCCGCGAAGTTGGCCCTCTTGCGAGAGTGAAATCCCGTCTTCCGCGGAAGCTCTTGAAGAGTAAGCCCACAGAACGCCCGTCTCATTGCGAAGTGGGCAAGATGCTCTACAGCACTCCCGCACATGGCAAAATGAGGGCAGAGGGCCCATCGCTGCCCAAAAGGATCCCACTCGGAGATCTGGGCCAAGGCCAGCGCCCTCCCTCTCCCCGTCGCGGGGCGGCCGCACGAGGCAGCACCCGGTGGCTTCTTCTGTTTTTTATTAGTATTGAAATATTATCAGTAGTAGTGGTACTATTATGACTATTAGTAGTAGTAGTAGTAGTAGTAGTAGTAGTAGTAGTACTACTACTACTACTACTACTACTGCTACTACTAGTAGTAGTAGTAGTAGTAGTGGTAGTAGTAGTAGTAATAGTAGTAGTAGAAGTAGTAGTAGTAGTGGTGGTGGTGGTGGTAGTAGTCGTCGTCGTCGTCGTCGTAGTCGTAAGCGTAGTCGTCGTAGTAGTAGTAGTAGTAGTAGTAGTAATAATAATAGTAGTAGTAGTAGCAGCAGCAGTAGTAGTAGTAGTAGTAATAGTAGTAGTAGTGGTAGTGGTAGTCGTAGTGGTGGTAGTAGTAGTAGTAGTAGTAGTAGTAGTAGTTGCAGTAGTAGTTTTAGTAGTGATAGTAATAGTAGTAGTAGTAGTAGTAGTAGTAGTCGTAGTAGTAGTAGTAGTAGTAGTAGTAGTAGTAGTGGTAGTAGTAGTCGTCGTCGTCTTTAGTAGTTGTCGTAGAAGTAGTCGTAGTCGTAGTCGCTGCCGTCGTCGTCCTCGTCGTAATAGTAGTAGTAGTAGTAGTAGTAGTAGTAGTAGTAGTGGTAAAACTCGAAGTAACCGTAGTAGTAGTAGTGATAGTAGCAGCAGCAGTAGTAGTAGTAGTAGCAGTAGTAGTAGTAGTAGTAGTAGTAGTAGGAGTAGTAGTAGTAGTAGTAGTGGTATAGTGGTAGTAGTAGTAGTAGTAGTAGTAGTCGTAGTATTAGTAGTAGTAGTAGTAGTAGTAGTAGTAGTAGTAGTAGTAGTAGTAATGGTAGTAGTAGTGGTAGTAGTAGTAGTAGTAGTAGCAGTCGTAGTGGTAGTAGTAGCAGTAAGTAGTAGTAGTAGTAGTAGTAGTAGTAGTAGTAGTAGTAGTCGTCGTATTGATATCAATATTAATTTCATGGTAAACATGACTTGTATTATCACTACTCCTCCGTATCCTCTCCTCCTCCACAACATCATCCGCATCCGCATCCGCATGTGGCGGCGCGGCGACACGGCTTTCCGTTTTTGTTTTCTCGCTCGCCCTCGGTCTTATAGGCAGTCGGCGGTCCACCCGCCCGACGCGCGCTCGGCTGAAACATGGTATTGCGGAGCTGGAGCCTTGCGGGACGAAGGACCACGTCGTTTGGTCGGCCACGGAACTCGGCATCATGTGCACGCCCCCACTTCCAAAGATGTGGGGTACAGGATCCCGTGCACCGACTCCGTTAGCCGACCGAACCACATTGGGTATGCGCTGGGGCCCTCCGCCGGGCCCAGACCTCCCGGCGTCGCGAAAAAGATTACGACGGGCACGTTTGCCTGCGCAGTCGATCTCTGGGCGCAAGAGACAAACGGAGAGGGAGCGGTCAAAACCAACAAGGAAGAGAACGGCAAAGACCCTTGGGCGTCCATGCTGCCGGAACCGCTGCGCTGGCGGCGGCGGGCCGAACGCCCCGGGACCCCTGCCTCCGACGCCGCCCGAACCGCCGGAACCTCCAACGATTTCCGCTCTCGGAGGCTCCCGAGGCCCAAGGGGGGGCCCCAGGCGCCGAAAATAGCGAAAGTCTCTCATCATGATTTTTGTCATGGCCCGAGAGGGCCTGGGTTGGGTGTTCGAAGGAGAACGAATGACAAGAAGGGGGGCGGGGGTGAGCGCTGGCTCACGAAAGAACAGCCGCACGGCTCTGCGCAACGTGGTCGCCGAGGCGCTCTCGGGGCCGCGCTCAGCGGCGCTTCCTGGCGGACGGGGGGAGCCAAGGAAGAGGAGGAGGAGGACAGGAAACCAAAGGAAAGGAGAGGAAGGCAAGGAAGAAGGGAGGAGGAGGGGGAGGGACCCAGGAAAAGAAAGGGAAGGAAAGGGAGGGGGGCAGGAAACGAAAGGCAAGGGGAGGAAGGCAGGGAGGAAGGGAGGAGGGGAGGGAGCCAAGAAAGGAGGATGGAGGCGGAAAGAACAGAGGATGGAGGAGGTGGAGGGAGAAGGCATATCAAAAGGAGGGAGGACGGAGAAGAAGGGTGGACAACAGAGGAGCCCGCGTGCCAAGCACACCCAAGTCCTTCTTCGCATCCTCATCCTTCTGCTCGTCCTTCACATCCCTCCCGGTCATGGTCCTCCTCCTCCTCCTGCGACCAAGCCGAGAACGCAACAAATCGAGTCGCGCGCCTGAGAGAGGACGGGCCAAGACGCCACGCCCCTCGCGGACTCCCTACAGCAAAAGACCTGCACCACCTCCGACGAGCGACGAGGAGGAAAAAGGGGACAGGAAAGGCGAAAAGGAGAAGAAAGAGGCGCCGGCCTCAAACGTGCTGCATGAAAGGCAGCACTGACCACCGACAGCGGCCAGCCCTCATGCCTTCCTGGCTCTTCCTGCACCAGGCGTGACACTGGACACCCGCAACAGACCACCGAGCGGGGCACTCGGTGCGGGAACGCGTATGGGTGTCCAGGCCCGCCCCCGCTGACCCCCGTTGCCCAAGGGGGGTTAGGTGATACACACCTCTGAGCCGTACCCTCCAGAACAGAGCCGACCCCACCACCCCACACCCGCCACCCTGACTTGAACGGCGGGCAACAACAGTGGCCAGAGACTGGTCCCACAAAGCCAGGTACCACACAGGCCGACGCAAATCGGAGAATCGATTCGCGCCGGCCCTGGGGGGTTACCCGGGCGGCCCCAGTGGCCATGTCCCCGATGGACCTGAGACGACAGACGCACTGCACATGATCCACAGGGGCGCCTCCGCAAGAGAGTGGGGGTACCGCCCCAGGAACCCCAGGGCTCCGACGCACCTGGGCCGTGGCGCCGCGAGCGACGTCTTGACGGATTGTAGTGCACTCCAGGGGCCCCGATGCGCTGCCCACGCACCGAACTCACCACCGCCTGGGGGGCTCCTCCACCCCCACCAACTCCTCCTCCTCCTCCTCCTCCTCCTCCTCCTCCTCCTCCTCCACCTCCTCCTACTGCTCCTTTTCCTCCTCCTTCTACTGCTCCTTTTCCCCTCCTTGCCCTCCTCCTCCTCCTCCTCCTCCTCCTCCTCCTCCTCCTCCTCTCCTCTCCTCCTCCTCCTCTCCTCCTCCTCCTACACCTCCTCCTCCTCCTCCTCCTCCTCCTCCTCCTCCTCCTCCTCCTCCTCCTCCTCATCATCATCATCATCATCATCATCATCATCATCATCATCATCATCATCATCATCATCATCATCATCATCATCATCATCATCATCATCATCATCATCATCATCATCATCATCACCATCACCATCACCATCACCATCACCATCATCATCATCAGCATCATCAGCATCATCATCATCACCATCATCATCATCATCATCATCAGCATCATCATCATCATCATCAGCATCATCATCATCAGCATCATCATCATCATCATCATCATCATCATCATCATCATCATCATCATCATCATCATCATCATCATCATCATCATCATCATCATCATCATCATCATCATCTGCATCATCATCATCATCATCATCATCATCATCATCAGCATCATCATCATCATCGTCATCATCATCATAATCATCATCAGCAGCAGCATCATCATCATCATCAGCATCATCATCATCAACATCATCATCATCATCATCATCATCTTCAGCATCATCAGCATCAGCATCATCATCATGATTATCATCATCATCATCATCATCATCATCAGAATAATCGTCGTCATCATCAGCATCATCATCAACATCATCATCATCAGCATCAGCATCCTCAAAATCATCATCATCATAATCATCCTCATCATCGGCATCAGCATCATCGTCAGCATCAGCATCATCATCATCAGCAGCAGCAGCATCCTCATCCTCATCCTCATCATCAGAATCACCATCAGCAGCAGAATTAGTATCATCATAATCAGCATCGGTATAATCATCATCATAATCAGCATCAGCATCAATCATCATCAATCAGCATCATCGCCATCATCATCCTCGTCATCATCATCATCATCATCAGCATCACCATCATAATCAGCACCATGTTCATCAGCAGCAACAACATTATCATAATCAATATCATCATCATAATCAGCAGCATCATCATCAGCATCATCAGCATCAGCATCATCATCGTCATCCGCATCAGCGTCTTCATCATCATAATCATCATCGGTATCATGAGCATCATCATCAACAGCAGTAGCGTCATCATCATCATCATCATCAGCAGCAGCATCATTACCATCAGCATCAGGATCAGCATCACCATCATCAACATCATCAGCATCGTCATCATCATAATCATCGTCGTCATCGCCATCGTCATCATCATCAGCAGCATCATCATAATCCATAATCAGCATCAGCAACAGCATCATCCTGATCATCATCATCATCATCATCATCATCGTCATCATCATCATCATCAGCATCACCATCATCAGCATCAACAGCATACTCAGCATCAGCATCATCAGCATCCTATCATCAGCAGCAGCAGCATCAGCCTTGTCATCATCACCATCATCATCATCATCATCATCATCATCAGCACAAGTATCATAGTCATCATCATCATCATCATCATCCTCATCATCATCATCATCATCATCAGCATCATCATCATCATCATCATCATCATCATCATCATCATCATCATCATCATCATCTGTTCCTCCTCCTCCTCTTCCTCCTCCTCCTCTTCTTCTTTTTCCCCCTCCTCCTCCTCCACCTCCACCTCCACCTCCTCCTCCTCCTCCCCCTCCTCCTCCTCCTCTTCCTCCTCCTCCTCCTCCGCCTCCTCCTCCTCCTCTTCCGCCTCCTCCGCCACCTCCTCCTCCTCCTCTTCCACCTCCTTCTCCTCCCCGCGTCGGCGGCCGCGGCGGCGGCGCCGGCGGCGTGGGCGTCGGCTGAGCAGGGACCGACCGCCCCAGCATCCCTACAGGCGTGCCACGAGATGTTCTGAGAACCCCAACATGTTCTAGGTGCAAAAACAAGGTGTCCAGAGCACAAACCCGGCGTATTCAGAACGAGAGACAGTCTCGGCCAGCAGTGTGCTAAGAGCAGGTCGTGCTCACCACAAAAGGAGGAGGGGGAGAAGGAGGAGGAGGAGGAGGAGGACGACGACGAAGAGGAGGAGGAGGAGGAGGACAATTTGTTGCCAGGCCTATGGGCAAACCAGGACGCTTCCCTGCTGCTCGCGTCGGCCGCGGCAGCGGCGTCCAGCGGACGGCGCCAGCGGACGGGCGACCGGTCCTGTCGTCGTAGTTCGGCCTCATCCCCTGGCGGCCATCCTTCGCCTCCCACCTCAGCCGGGGGGGGGGGGCGTCGCCCTGATGTTTGCCCGCGCCACTTTGGAGGAGGAGGAGGAGGAGGAGGACCAGTGTAAATTCAAGAGGCATCAGCGATGTTGCAATAGACCCTCCCTCCAAGCTCCTTCTTCACAGGCCCCTACAACAATTTATCTTTACTGAGGGAACTGCCTCTTTGGAAGACAAGTGTTTGAAGACCCTGAAGCATGCCAAAACATTGTTCCCAGGATTCCAACGCAACGGATCAACCTGACTGTTGCGTCTTGACGATCTGGAACCGTGCCAGAACGCCAATCGTAGGACTTGAACACCGCGAACCAACATAAATTGTCACCATCATATGCCTGAATCCTTTCAAACACCATTACATGGTGTTTGGAAGGATTGAGGAATGCGAGAAATGGTCGTGTATGATCATGGGAATCCGTGAAACTCTTGCAGTGTTGTAAGACGAATGTGCGGCGAGAGCCACATTTTGCAAAGGACCCGCCCTCAATATGTGAAACTCTCTCAAATGTTTAAGACGAATGTGCGCGGCGCTTAGGCGAGAGCCACATTTGAAAAGGAACCGCCCTCAACCCGTGAATCTCTTGCAAGCGTTTGAGACGAATGTGCGCGGCGCTTAGGCGAGAGCCACATTTTGAAAAGGAACCGCCCTCAACCCGTGAAACTCTTGCAAGCGTTTGAGACGAATGTGCGCGGCGCTGAAGTGAGAGTCACATTTTGAAAACGACTCGCCGTCAATCCTTGAAACTCTTGCAATATGTTAAGACGAATGTACGCGGCGCTACGGGGAGCGCCACATTTTGAAAACGACCCGCCCTCCATCTGTGAAACTGTTGCCAATATTTAGGCGTCAGAATCATGAATGGTGAGGAGGTCTCAGGCGAAACGCCCAGCCCGCCCTACAAATTTGCTTCAGGGTGCGACAGGGAGAAATTGTGCATACGGAGAAGGAATGGAGAAGGAGCACGAGGAGGAGGAGGAGGGGGAGGAGGCGAGAGAGAGTCAACGCAAACACCAGACCGTTGTCTACCACGATGAATTGGCAAGCAGTCAAGACCGTCATCGTCCTGACTTCCATTTGGAATGATGCCACCACCAACAACAACGCAAAAACGAGACTGGGGAGTCGGCAGGTACAGTCAACCCGTATAAAGAAAGCGGCCAAGGATGAGCCCAAGGGGAAGGATGCAAAGGTAACCTTGGGAAGCCGCTCATCCTTACCTATTCGGGTTGACTGTGCTAAGGCTGTCGCAGGGCCGTCCTCGCCCTTTCCTCACGCGTGAAACGAAGCAGCTCGCGGGAAGGAAGCGGGGGGAGGGAGGGAAGGGGGAGGTGACCAGGTGAGAGCGCTCGAGGGTGCGGAGGCCGGCCGGGGGGCCTCGCCCTGGGATGAGGCGGGCCGAGAAGGGGCGCACGGTCAACCCGTAGCATGAGGATGCGCGGTAAGGGTGCAAGGGCCCTGGAGGCCCATGTGAACGCTTTTCGAACGAGGCTGGCCAACGCAAGTCGCCAAGGATGGGCCGAAGGGGCACGGGTGCAAGGGTACCATTGGAAGGTTGCCCATCCTTACAGTCGGGGCGCTGAAGAAGGAACCCTTCTCGTTTGGGAGGGGCTCCGTGTTCCTGAATTGCTTCACAGTTTGCCTTCTGTCTTCCGTAGGTTTCCGATGGGAAATCGAAGTTTAACTCCTGGAAAAAAGGGGCCTCGTTCCTGATTTAAGGTTCCTTAAGTCCACACCCCGACGGTACTATGCGGGTTGGCTGTAAAAAGTGACCTGGAACCGCTGACACATTCGAGCTGTCTTGGAGGGTTCGGAGGGGGTCTGGGCAAAGGGCCGCCCTTTCATGGATGGTCTGGGGGGGTCTAAAACTTCTCGTCTGGGATGGTTGTGACCCCCTCCCTTTTATCACGAAATCTGGGGTACCATTGGAAAGGTTTCCCATCCTTACTATGCGGGTTGGCTGTAACAAGTGACCCGGAACCGCTGGCACAGCGCCGAGTGGTCGGCGAAGAGCCCCCCGATGGGGCACCCCCAGGGCGCAGCCCTCCCCCTAGGCCCCCGAGGAGGCCGCGGCACGGGCGCAGCCCTCCCCAGGGAGGCCCAGGCGCGCGGCTGGGAGCGGCCAAGAGGGGGGTGTCCAAGAGGGGGGGGGTGCAAATCATGACTGGCGGCACGTGCGCGGCCCAGCGGGAGGGCCGGGGACGTAATGAGATAAGAAGAGGCGCCATGACATCTGAGGAAATATCATGGCCCACGCCATGATATCCACCCCCACCTAGTCATCACCCCCCTCTTTGCCGCCCCCGAGCGCGGCTGGGAGGGGGGCAAAGCCCGGGGCGGGAGCCCCGAGCGAAGGGGCACCCCATCTGGCCTTGAGCCAGAAGGCTGCGTGCACACACACACACACACACACACACCAACAGAACAAACGCGCGCGGTAGCGCCCACCAGAGAGCGCGCGGTGGGGGGATGGGAGAAGAATCTGGACGAGGAGGATGATAAGAAAGAGGAGGGAGGACAAGGGAGAACAGGGGGATGCACGATCCTGCTGCTCCTCCTCACCTCCTCAGCCAGGGAATACCTACTTCGCTCCGCTTCGACTCGGAATGGCCCAAAGCCCGAAACCAGCATCCAGAGTCCGAAACCGACGAAACGAATCTGGGTCCCATCCATCTCCATTCGGGAGCGGTTTGATCAGCATTTCGGAGCAACCCAGAAGCGGCCACGAGGGCGCTGCAGAATGCATCAGGATCGCGAAAGCTCTGATTCCCCACGATCTACTACTGCTACTACTACTAATATTATTATTATTACTACTGCTGCTACTACTACTACTACTACTACTACTACTACTACTACTACTACTACTACTACTACTACTACTACTACTACTACTACTACTACTACTACTACTACTACTACTACTACTACTACTACTACTACTACTACTACTACTACTACTACTACTACTACTACTACTACTACTACTACTACTACTACTACTACTACTACTACTACTACTACTACTACTACTACTAGTACTACTACTACTACTACTACTAACTACTACTAGTATTATCATGATTCGTACTACTACCACGACTACTATTACTACTACCTACTACTTATTACTACTACGACTACGACTATCTACTACGACTACGAATCGACTACTACGACCTCTTTACTACTACTACTAAACTACTAACTACTAACTACTACTAACTACTACTACTACAAACTGCGACTACTACTACAAATACGACACTACGACTACTACTAAACCACTACTGCTACTACTACTACCACTAACTACTACTCTAACTCTACTACTACTGCTGCTGCTGCTGCTTACTACTACTAAAACTACTACTACTACTACTACTACTACAACTACTACTACAATACTACGACTATCTACACGACGACTACTCACCGACTACACGACGATTACCTACTACTACTACTAATACTACCACTACCACAAATACTAACTACTACTACTACTACTACAACTACTGGCTACGACAACTAACTACTACTACTACTTACACTACCATTACTACTACTACGGCTACGATACTACTCTACTACACTACTACTACTACTACTACTATGACTACTAGTACTACTACTACTACTACTAACTACGACTACTACTACTACTACTAGTACTACTACTACTACTACTACTACTACTCTACTACTACCACTACCACTACTACTACTACTAACTACTACTACTACTAACTACTACTACTACTACTACTACTACTACTACTACTACTACTACGACTACGACTACTACTACTTACTACTACAACTACTACAACTACTACTACTACTACGACTACGACGACTACTACGACTACTACTACTACTACTACTACTACTACTACTACTACTACTACTACTACTACTACTACTACTACTACTACTACTACTACGACTACTACTACTAGAACCACGCGCGCGCTTCGCGCGCGCTTAGGTTCTGTCGAGTCACAGACCCAGGAATCGTTGTGAGAAGAAATTGGTGACGCGAAGCGTCGTGGGGGCGTCCTTGGACGTCTGGGGTCTCCTGGGGCCTCTTGAAGGGCCTCCTGGGGGCCTCCTGGCGGCCTCTTGGGGCGGAAGGCTCGAGCTTGCGGTTCGTGGTCCCCCTCTGGGCCCACTCTTGGGCCCGTCTTGGGGCCCTCTTGGGCCATCTTGGGCGCCTCTTGGGCCGTCTTGGGGCCCTCTTGGGCTGTCCTGGGGGCTTCTTGGGCCGTCTTGGGGCGGTCTTGGGCGCCTCGTGGGCCGTCCTGTAACGTCGGAAAGCCGCAAAAGGCGACTTTTGTTGGGGGGAACATGTACGTTTTACGAAGGGAATGGGCCAATTTTTGCGTCTAGTGGCCCTCTTGGGACGCATGTTGGAGGCTTCTTGGGGCCTCTTGGGGGCGTCCTTGGACGTCTGGGGTCTCCTGGGGCCTCTTGAGGGGCCTCCTGGGGGCCTCCTGGCGGCCTCTTGGGGCGGAAGGCTCGAGCTTGCGGTTCGTGGTCCCCTCTGGGCCCCCTCTTGGGCCCGTCTTGGGGCCCTCTTGGGCCATCTTAGGCGCCTCTTGGGCCGTCTTGGGGCCCTATTGGGCTGTCCTGGGGCCCTCTTGGAAGCTTCTTGGGCCGTTTTGGGGCGGTCTTGGGCGCCTCTTGGGCCGTCCTGTAACGTCGGAAAGCCCAAAAGGCGACTTTGTTGAACATGTACGTTTTACGAAGGGAATGGGCCAACTTTTGCGTCTGGGGGCCCTCTTGGGCCGCATGTTGGAGGCTTCTTGGAGCGTCTTGGGGGCGTCCTTGGACGTCTGGGGTCTCCTGGGGCCTCTTGAGGGGCCTCCTGGGGGCCTCCTGGCGGCCTCTTGGGGCGGAAGGCTCGAGCTTGCGGTTCGTGGTCCCCCTCTGGGCCACCTCTTGGGCCCGTCTTGGGGCCCTCTTGGGCCATCTTGGGCGCCTCT